TTTTTATAAACGTAGTGTAGCCTAGGTGTTCTGTTTATAAAGTCCTAGCTTTCACATTCACTCACCACTCACTCACTGACTCACCGGGAGCAACTTCCAGTCCTGCAAGCTCCATTCATGGTAAGTGCCCTATACAGTGCACCACTTTTTATATTTTATAACTTATTTTTACTGTACCTTTTCTATGTTTAGATGTTTAGATACACAAGTATTTATCATTGTGTTACAATTGCCTGCAGTATTAGTAACGTGCTGTGCAGGTTTATAGTCTAGGTTTGTAGTTGTGTAGTAAGCTGTACCACCTAGGTTTGTGTCAGTGATGTTTCCACGAAGATGAAATCCCCTAATGACCAGTTTCTCAGAAGGTATCCCCATCATGAAGTGACACATGACTGTGTTAAATGAAATGTGCTCTATCACAACACCCCAGTAGCAATGAGCACATGTCCAGATTTTGGTGTCTAAGTACCATTCTCCGATGAAAGGAACTGACGATCTTTGGAAAACTGGTTAATCCCAGGACTGGGGCAGGGAAAATATAAGATGAGCCTGGAGCACCTTGCGGCAAAAAGTAAAGAAGTATTCAAAAAACAAAAAAATGGGGAGCATGTCCAAGGGATAGGAGTCAATCCAAAAGACCTCCAAATGGCCAAATCTGGAACAACTTGAGCAACAAAATAAATAATGATAGAACTGAATTCTAAAGCAGAGAATAAAGTAAGTACCCATAAGTCCATACTGACATAAACAAATCATTGAATAAATAAATAAGTGTTGTGGGGGAGGGATGGAGGACAGATGTTCTTTACAGGAGAATTCTAAATAAGTGTAGAAGATAGAAATAAATGTGGAGATAGAAAGTCATCACCAAAACACCTCACTAATAACTGTTGTGGGCAAGAACCACTTGTACTAGTCCATTTCTGTTGCTTATAACAAAATACCTAGAACTGGGTAATTTGTAAAGAAAACAAAAATTATTGCTTACAGTTTCAGAGGCTGGGAAGTCCAAAGTCCAGGGAACCCATCTGGTGAGGGTCTTAGCGGTGGCAACAGTGACCCAGGGGTCTCACATGGCAGAAAATGGCAGATCAGAGAGAGACTAAGCTCTCATGTGCTCTTCTTTTAAAGCCCTCAGAACCACACCCCTGACCACCATTGTTAATCCATTCAGTACGCTCTCATGTGCTCTTCTTTTAAAGCCCTCAGAACCACGCCCCTGACCACCATTGTTAATCCATTCAGTACAGCATGGTCCTACAATCTAATCACCTCTTCAAGGCCCCACCTTTCAATTACTGTAATAGGATTTTCTACCCTCAACAGTTGCAACGGGGATTTAAGTCTCAATGGGGGAGGCGGGACGGGGATGGGATCCAGTGTACAGCACCACCCATGGAGGCTAAAATTAGTGGGTGAAACTTTAAGGAGAAACAGAATATTTTCATAGTATCAAAGCATCTCCCAGAAGACTTTTATTAAGAGAAAAATCCTGACTAAATATTGGAGAAACCTGGCAGACCCCACTTTAACCAAGCCCCCAAGGTCAACATCAGCAGTGGTAAGTTGTGTGGATATCATAGACCCTCTGGTGTGATGCGATATGACCCGCTTTTGTGGCCTTCTCCAAAACCCATAACTCCAGTCTAACCACAAGAAAACATCACTTAAACCCAAAATAAGGGACATTCTACAAAATAGTCCCTCCATCCCCAAATTTCTGTCCTTACTGGAACCTCAGAATGTGACCTTATTTGGAAATAGGATCATTGCAGATATAATTAGTTAAGATGGGGTCATACTGGAGTAGGGTGGACCCTTACAATCCAATGACTGGTGTCCTTATAAGACGAGAAGAGACACAGGGGGAGAATGTCATGTAACAACAGAGGCAGAGACTGGAGCGATGCATCTGTAAACCAAAGAGCACCAGGGATTGCCAGCAACCACCAGAAGCTGGAAGAGAGCCTTGGGATGGATTCTTCTTTAGAGCTTCCAGAAGGAACCAATCCTGCTAACACCTTGATTTTGGATTTCTGGCCTCCAGAACTGTGAGAGAATATATTTCTGCTGTTTTGAGCCATCCAGCTTGTAGTGATTTGTTATAGCAGCCACAAGAAACTAATACAATGAACGTCAAAACTGTTATTGTCTAATTACAACAATGTATCGTATATTTCCAATAGCTAGAAGACAGGATTTTGAATGTTCCCACCACAAAACAATGATGAATGTTTTAGGTGATAGATATATTTGTTTGTTTGTGGCAGCTGGCCGGTGAGAGGATCTGAACCTAGCGTGATGGATATACTAATTACCCTGATTTGATCATTACATATTGTATACATAAATCAAAATATCATACAGTGCCCCATAAATATATGCAATTCTTATGTGTCAATAAAAAACTGTCAATGTCATAGAAGACAAGGAAAGACTGAGAACTGTCATAGAGACCAAGATGTGATGAATGTGATGTCTTCAGTAACACCTGGGCCAGAAAAAAACGAAACAAAACAAAACAAAACAACTTGCTGTGGCAAAACTGGTGAAATTCAAATAAAGACTATAGTTTAGTTAATACCGTTACATAACGGTCATTTCTTGGTTCTGGTCATTGGACAACCTGAGTTTATGCAAGATGTTAACGTCATGAGAAGCTAGGTGAAGGGAATCAGAGCATTCTCTGTATTATCTTTGTGACTTTCTAGAAAGAAGTCTAAAATTATCTCAAAGTTAAAAAAATATATGTTCTTTCTTCCTTCCTACATTCACCATCATTAGGTCCCAGAACACAGATTCCAATTTAGTTTGTTTTGGCAGCTGGCCAGTATGGGGATCTGAACCTTGACCTTGGGGCTATAACACCGATCTAGCCAGCTTAGCTAACCGGCCAGCCAGGTTCTAATTTAGAATGTAGGGCTCCTCCGAGGTCCACGCCCGTGTGTGATGATAGCCCGCGAGCGCCAGCCTGCAGCCCACGCAGCCCTCACCCCTTCTTCCCCCACCTCTGACTCCACCATGCAGTGTGAGAGGTCTTGTGCACGCTCATGTGGACACCCCGGACCACTCATCCAAGCTCCACACACCCACTTCCCAACATTCCACAAGCGACCACCCCTTGGCCACTCCTGAGACCCTGGGGAGAAAGATGAGGAGTTCTAGGGTCCCAGGCACCCAGAGTGAGGTCTAGGAGTGAGGGTGTGAGTTCCAGCATTGCCACGTCCCCTTGCTCCCACTGGACTCCCTGTCCTGTGGGGACAGACATGCCCAGAGGATGGCAAGAGACTAGCTTGGGCTATGGTCCAAATGCTTGTGCTCCCCTCAAATTCACATGTTGAAATCCTAACCCCCAAGGTGATGGTATTAGCAGGTGGGGCTTTGGGTGGTGATTAGGTCGTGAGGGTGAAGTCCTCATCGATGGGGTTTGTGACCTTATAAAAGAGGCCCAGGGAGCTGGTTTGACCCTTCCACCACACGAGGACACATGCAGCAACAGTTTCTGCTGAATGAGTATTGATTTCACACCCTCATAAAGTCGAAAAATTATAAGTTGAACTTGACAATTGAAACATCATAAGTTGGAACAAGTTCGGATAAGTTGAAAATCGTTAAGTTGGAGACTGTCTGCTGTTTTGCCAGCATTAAATGCATTTTTGACTTAATGATATTTTTGATTTGCGATGGATATATCGGGACATAACCCCCTTGTAAGTCAAGGAGCATCTTTCGTTACTATGGCAATTAAATTTTGACATGAGTTTTAGAAGGGACAAACATTCAAACCATAGCAGGGGCTATGGTGTACCCCAAAAAACCCACCTCTGAGTGCCTGAGTTTCACTTGGACAGCAAGATGTCTACACGATCAGATACAAATGGCAACCGAGGGAGTGTTCGGGTCTTGTGCCCTTCTGTGGCTCCCGTGCTTGTATCTGGGCAAGTATACTAGCAGGTGGACTCCTCTGCAGAAGCGACATTGTCCCCCTACACATATAGTAGGATCTACATATCATGGGGGCCTGCCTGTGGCTCACTCGGGAGAGTGCGGTGCTGATAACACCAAGGCCACGGGTTCGGATCCCATATAGGGATGGCCAGTTAGCTCACTGGCTGAGCGTGGTGCTGACAACACCAAGTCAAGGGTTAAGATCCCCTTACCGGTCATCTTTAAAAAAAAAAAAAAAAGGATCTGCATATCCTAAATGTGCATAAACCACAGCTCTACTAAGGCAGTAACAGTGATACGTTAGGGGAAAAAACAGAGAGGGCACCAAACCCAGCTTGGGGTGTGGGGATCTCAGGAGGCTGCCCAGAGGAGGTTACATCTTTTTTATAATTAGAATACAAATATTTTTCTTTATGGAGATATAGGGGTGAATGACACATTATTACTGTGTTTTGTTTTTGTTTTTTGGCAACTGGTGGGTATGGGGATCTGAACCCTTGACCTTGATATTACAAGGCTGTGCTCTAACCAATTGAGCTAACTGGCCAGCCTGTTTGCCCTGTTTCTAACCTGGTAAAGAACATACCTAGAGAAGTTGACAAGTCAAGTGTTGGTGAGGATGTGGAGCAACTGGAATGCTCCCACATTGTTGTTACATGTGTGGATTGGTGCAACCACTTTGGATAACAATTTGGTACATACCAGCAATTCCACTCTAACATACATGCCCCAGACAAATTCTTGCACTGATACCCTGGGAGATATGCACATGAGTGTTCTAGAAGCATTGATTATGATAGCCTCCAAACTGGTAATATCCACATTTCCCATTGACAGGACAACGAATAAATAAATCACTGGGCATTCAGTATATGATAGTGAAAATGAATGAACACAACCACACGCAGTATGGTTTAATCACAGGATCTTACTGTTAAGTAAAAAAAGCAAGTTGCAAGACACTACTACCATTATGTATCCATTTATGTAAAAGTACCAGACAGGCAAAACAAGATATCATTTAGGGATAAAAAAATATAGGAATGAGGGCTGGCTGATTAGCTCAGTTGGTTAGAGTGTGGTGCTGATAACACCAAGGTCAGGGGTTCAGATCCCCCTACTGGCCAGCCACACACACACACACACAAAATATATATATATATATATATATATATATATATATATAATGTTTAAATAAATATAAATATACATATTCACATATATATGTGAATGATAGGACAAAACTCAAGAAGGTGGTTATCTTGGAGGAGGGATAAGATGATGTGTCTCCAAGGATACTGGTAATATTTTTGTTCTTATACAGGGTGGAAGGTTCATGTTTAAAAATATTATTTTATATATTCTCAATATTTAATCAATGGTTCCTGTGACAGATTGTAATTTCCAAAGATGTCCATAACAACATTTCATACCCCATGTGCTTTTCTTACAAGGCATCCTTGCTGTTCCCCCATCAAGAAGTGGATTCCAGACCCTTTACACAAGATGACGCTGAAAGCAAAGAAGGAAGCTCCTGCCCCTGCCAGGGCCAAAGCAAAGGCTTTCAAGGCCAACAAGGCAGTGCTGAAAGGTGTCCAAAGCCACACACACACAAAAAGATCTGCACATCACCCGCCCACCTTCCAGTGGCCCGAGACACTCCAGCTCTGGAGGCAAATCAAATATCCTCAAAAGAGCGCCCCCAGGAGAAACAAGCTTGACCACAAAGCCATCATCAAGTTCCTCCTGACCACCACATCTGCCACAAAGAAGATAGAAGACAGCAGCACACTTGTCTTCCTTGTGGATGTCAAGGCCAACATAAGCATCATATCAAACGGGCTGAAGAAACTCTATGACATTAGTGATGTGGCCAAGGTCAACACCCTGATCAGGCCTGGTAGAGAGAAGAAGGCATATGTCTGACTGGCTCCTGATTACGATGCTTTGGGTGTTGCCAACAAAATGGGATCATCTAAACTGAGTCCAGCTGGCTAATGCTAAATGTACATTTTTCCACCATAAAATAAAGAAGTAGATTCCCCTTGAACCTGGGTAGGTCTTTGTGACTAATACAATCCATGGGGTTTGATGCACATTAGACAAGGCAGTTTCTGAGCCTAGGTCATAAACGGTGATACAGATTCCTCTGGTTCTCTGTCAGAGTCTGCCATTGGAACCCAGCCACCACGTTGTGAGGAAGCTTAAGACAACTGCAGAGGCTGCTCTGTTCTGTTCTAGCTGACGGCTCCAGCTGAGGTCCTTACCAACAGCCAGCAAGTGAATAAGTCTTTGAGGTGACTCTGGCCCCAGCCACTGTCTGACTGTAACTGTGACAGACCTGGAGTGAGAACCGCCCAGCTGAGCCCAGTCATCCCTGAGGACCATGAGTGATAATAGTGACAAATGATTATTGTTGTTTTGCACCACTACATTTGGGGGTGTTTGTTACACAGCAATGGCTATCTGATACAAAGTCTCTTCCACTGGAGTAAGCTTAGGCTGGGCTCTGGACAGGGGATGAAGGAGGCACCCCCGAATGGTTCTCCTTACGGTAAGGAGGTCACTGACTGAGAGGACCTGAGGCTGCAAGGAGACGAGCAGTTTGGCCACAGTGTTGGGAAGTCACCTAGGGTGGGTTCCTAACAGCTCCCAAAGGGCATAGGATCCGCAGGAGAAGTGGGACCCACCTGCTGAAGACATGTTGTAATACTGTGATATAATAAAAAATAGATATTTTGGCTTTGTCCAGGTTTTCTGACACACATCTCCTAAAGCCTTTGGAACTCTGAAGTGATAAATGTCTTTGGATTTATTTATTTATTTATTTATTTTGGTGGCTGGCTGGTACGGGACCTCCTAAAGCCTTTGGAACTCTGAAGTGATAAATGTCTTTGGATTTATTTATTTATTTATTTTGGTGGCTGGCTGGTACGGGATCTGAAACTGTGACCTTAGTGTTATAAGGCTGTGCTCTAACCAACTGAGCTAACTGGCCAGCTGACAAATGCCTTTTTGAATGCTATTGAGATGACAGAGGGCTGAGGGTTCTGGATGGGAGGGGAGCTGGTTGCCAGGGGAACCAACCATGTTGATTAGATCAACCTGGGGAGAGGGTAAGGCTGATGTTTGAGTTTGATCACCAATGGCTAATGATTTAATCAGTCCTGCCCGTGTGATGACCTCTCCAAAACACCCCAAAAGGTCAGATTTTGGAGGCCTTCTCGGTTGATCAACATGTGGAGGTGCTGGGAGGATGCATGGAAGCTCCGCATGCCTGTCCCCGTACCTCGCCCTATGCATCTCTTCCACCCTGCTGTTCCTGAATCGTATCCTCTTACAATAAACACGTAATAGTAAGTAAAGCGCTCTCCTGAGTTCCATGAGCTGCTCTAGCAAGTGATCGATCCCAAGGAAAGGGTCGTGAGAACCCCCAACATACAGCTGGTTGGTCAACAGTGCAGGTAACAACCTGGCCTTGCGATTGGCATCTGAAGTGGGGGCAGTCTTGAGGACTGAGCCCGTAACCTATGGGGATCTAACAGATAGATCATGTCAGAATTGAGCTACCTCCAGATAGATCATGTCAGAATTGAGTAGAATTGCAGGATACCGAGTTGGTGTCAGTAAAGGATTGGAGAATGCTTGGTATGGGAGAACCCCCTGCACATCTGGCATCAGAAGTGAAATATCGGGAGTGATGTGACTATAGAAAGAAAAACGTTCATTTATTTTCCCCCATATATTTGTCCTACTGATTTGGCCCAAATGGGCTTCTCGCTAATTTTCCCCATGTCAGAAAACATCACTCACCCCACTTTGGGCTGGCCCACGGCTCACTTGGGAGAGTGTGGTGCTGATAACATCAAGGCCATGGGTTCGGATCTCTATATAGGGATGGCCGGTTTGCTCTCTTAAGAAAGCACGGTGCTGACAACACCAAGTCAAGGGTTAAGATCCCCTTACCGGTCATCTTTCTTAAAAAAAAAAAAAAAGAAAACAGCACCCCCATGTTGCTAAACATTTCAACCAGTTGTTAAAGTCATCTTTTACTCCTCTCTTCTCCCCCCACCCCAAGATCTAGTCCATGAGCATGACCCGCCAGCTCTGAATATGGCCACTTTCCTCCATGTTCACTGCTAGGACCTGGTTCCATGTCCCCATCTGGCCTCCCTGAGGCCATCCGTGCCCATCCTCCCCCCAAACTGTTCTCCACACAGCAGCCCTAAATAACATTTTCCTCCCACTTTTAAAAAAAACTTTTCATTTTGAAATAATTTTAGGTTTCCAGCAGATTTGCAAAGATGGTGCAGAGAGTTCTCATATACCCTTCACCTAATGTCCCCTGATGTGCACATCTTGTATAATCATGGTGACTTTGTCACAACTAAGAGATTAACTAACATTAGAACAGTTCTATTCCCTAGGCTACAGGCTTAATTTGAATTTCACCAGTTTTTCCCTTGATGTCCTTATTCTGGTTCAAGATCCCATCCAGAACATCACATTACATTTAGTTGTCACATCTCCTTAGTCTCCTCTGGCCTGTGACAGTTTTATGGTCTTGTCTCCTTGTTTCTTATGCCCTTGACACCTTGGATTTGTAACTGGCCAGGTACTTTGTAGAATGTCTCTCAATTTGGGACCAACGTCTGATGTTTTCTCTTGATTAGACTTAGGTTATAGGTTTCGGGGATGATATCGAAGCAGTAAAAGTGTCGTCCTCATCTCATCTTTTTAGGAGTCTACGATAGCAACATGGCTTGTCACTGGTGATTTTGACTTTGATCACTGGGTTAAAGTGGTATCCACCAGGTTGTCTGCTGTCGAGTTACTTGTTTCTTTCAATACTTTATTCCTTAGAAGTGAATCACCAAATCCAGCCCACATCCAACAAGGTGAATTAAGCTCTACTTCAAGAAGGAAAGAGTATCAAAGAATTGGTGGACATATGTTAAAAATCTCCCAGTAATTAATATTTTGAGAGAGGTATTTTGAGGGTAGGCAAATGTCCTGTTTCTCCTTAAAGTTTCATCCACCCTTTTTAGCATCCATTGGTGGGTCTTGCCTGCTGCAATGATTACTGCAGTGTTTGCCTAATGGTGATTTTTCTAATTGCCTTATTCCTTCTACATTTATTAACTGGACATCTTCTAAAAGGAAGATTTGTCTCTTCTTCCCCCATTTATTTATTCCATTCTTGTTTTTTTTTTTTTTAAAAGATGACTGGTAAGGGGATCTTAACCCTTGACTTGTTGTTGTCAGCACCACGCTCAGCCAGTGAGCGAACCGGCCATCCCTATATGGGATCCGAACCCATGGCCTTGGTGTTATCAGCACTGCACTCTCCCCAGTGAGCCACGGGCTGGCCCGGGCCGGCCCCCATTCTTGTTTTCATGTCAGTATGGACTTGTGGGCATTTCTTTAATTCTTTGGATCACAATGATCTTTTTGATCTCATATCAGATTCCATCATCTTCTACCAAAACCTTTCAGAGACTTTTCTTTATGCTTGAGAGTAAAATCTTTTTTTTTTAAAGATGACCGGTAAGGGGATCTTAACCCGTGACTTGGTGTTGTCAGCACCACACTCAGTGAGCTAACTGGCCATCCCTATATAAGATCTGAACTCGGGGCCTTGGTGTTCTCAGCACCGCACTCTCCCGAGTGAGCCACAGGCCGGCCCTGAGAGTAAAATCTAAATGCCTCGCTTACTTATAAGCCTTCTAACCTTCCTAACTGTTTTGAAGTTCTCGTCTGTTTTTCTTGCTCAGTTTTTCCTTGCTCATTCCTACTCTGGCTCAACTGGTTTATTTTTAGTCTCTCAATCTTCATCCTGCTGGAACTTCCCTTTGCTGAAATATTCCTTCTCTTCACCTTCATGGTACCCCTCTCTGACTGCCCTGTCTAAACAGCCTTCTTCCTTCTCTCTTTCTCACCCTACTTGAAATTAGGCAGCAGATATTTATTTCCATGCTTATCGTCTGTCTTGTTCGCTGCTGTATCCCTGGCACTTAGAACATAGCAGATGCTCAATAAATAGCTATTGACTAAGTGAATGCATGTGCCTGAAAGCATAGGGAGAGACACATCCATTCGCTTCCTCTCTTATTATAGTAACAGCTCG